ACCAGGGGATTCTGCTGGTCCCCAGCAGTGGCTGCCCTGTGACCCGGAATCGGGCAGAGGGAGAAAGTGGGACACAGGGACAGGTGGTTCCTTCTCCAGCCCAGCCGGAGCAGAGGTCCCGGCACATCCCTGCGGAGCCCCCGGAGTCAGCACAGCTCTAACTCGCCCCCCTGTGCAGACACAGCCCCTCCATTCCCGTCCCTGCCATCCCAGCTCCCTGTTTGCTTCTGGAGAGACACCACTGCCCCAGCCGAGGTGGGAGCACCCCCCGTGCCGGGGCCATCCGCGTCCAAGGGGCTCCAACAGCTCGGACCAGCAAACCCCATCCAGCATCCCAATCCCAAAACACACCCGGGAGAGCGGCATCGCTTCCCCAGCTGCTCCCCAGGACTCCAGAGACCTCCTGCCCTCGGGAAGGAGGGTGCTGTGGCACCGAGGAGGGGGTGCCACTGCCTGGCCCCCAACTCCTCCTGCCTCGGGTCCCTCCATTTCGGTGGGGACAAAGAGAGAGGAGGGATTGCCCGGGTTGTTCCGATGGATCCCAGCCCTGGAACGGCAGACAGATGGACGGATGGACGGACGGATGGACGGAATGGCCACCCCCCACCCCGGGGGGGCTGAGGCAGAGCCGCTGTGGTGCGATGGCTGCTCGGGGCCCTGGAACGCCCGTGGGACGGGTGGAAGGAACCCAGAGGAGGAGGGTTAGAAGGAAAGGCATACATACATATCTCGGGAGATTCATCCGAGCCATCCGGACAATCCTTCTCCCCGTCACAGCGCCAGCCCTTAGATATGCACGTAATCTGATCTTTGCATGCAAACTGTTTGGGGCTACAAGTCTTCGGTGCTGGATGGGAAAAGAAATAACGATAATAAACAACATCAGTTTCTTCCCAAAGACAAGTTGTTTCAAAAGACAAAAAAAAAAAAAAATCAAATTTCAATTAAAGGGCCGAGATTGTTTTTTTTTTTTTTAGGGGGGGATGATTTCTTTCGGCGAAAGTTTGAGCCCGGCATCGGATCCATCAAACCTGCCCCTGAGGAAAGGAGGAAATTTAAGCTGGAGCATTAATTACACCGGGAGAAAACAAGAGCTGAGTGCTGTGATGCACTCGCAGATTTTAAAGATCATTTAACTTGGATGAATTAGCTCCTGGGGGCCAGAGGCGCTTTGCTTTCCGTGCTAGGCAAGGAAAAAACAGGGGGGAAACAAGCAAACCCAAATGAGAACAAATTAAAAAGTAATGTTTCTTTAAATCATGAGGACAACAGTGGGATGTCACTACATCCATCCTGTGCCCAGGACCCCGGGGCAGCCCAGGGAGGGGGCAGCTCCAGCACCACCCCCTACAACACACAGGGATGGAACATGGACGGAGCAAAAACCAGCAAGAAAAGCCAAAATCCAGGGGCTGGGAAGGGAGACGGGTTGGGAAGAGTCTCCTGACTGTGTCCTGAGGGTGTCACTGCAATGTGTGTGGGGGGGGGGTCACTGCACCCCCCACCCCCCAAAAGCAGAGGCTGCAATGAGGGGTCACTGCCATGGGGGGGTCACTGCAATGAGGGGTCACTGCAATGAGGGGTCACTGCCATGGGGGGTCACTGCCATGGGGGGTCACTGCAATGAGGGGGTCACTGCCATGGGGGGTCACTGCCATGGGGGGGTCACTGCCATGGGGGGTCACTGCCATGGGGGGTCACTGCCCAGCCCCAGCCCGGGGAGGGGTCTGACATCCTGCAAACCCAAAGCGACTGGGAACGGCTGCTCAAGCAAGGGCAGTCACACGCAATTCCCAAAACATTCATCTCGTGGCATCCCGGCTCTCCTGCCAAATTCCCTGCTCCAAGGATCCACTTCCTGCTCGGCCCGAGGAAGAGGGGTCTCTGTGCCTGCACCTTCCTCCCCAGCTCCTGCCACGGCGCTGCCCCACAGCGGGGATGCTGCGAGGGGAGAGGATGGGGATGGTCCAGTCGCCAGCCCCGGTCCCCAGAGGGGAGGAGGAAACCCTTCCTACCCTGTCACAACACTAATTATCCCTCAGACCTGCACAGGGCTTCGCCTGAGCCGTTTGCTGTGACTGAAGTGCAGCTCCTCCTGCCAACCTGCTTCCCTCCTTCCTCCCCTTCCCTCCACGGCATCCGCACCGGCGGCGTGGGAGCTGCTGCTCAGCACCACGGCGGGAGCTCAGCACAGCCAAGATGGACCCTGGACGGATCAAAATGGATGGAACATCCCCGGGGATGAGCAGATCCTTCCCCTCCACCTTCCCGAGGCCGGAGGTGACCTCTAGACCGAGCCTGTCCCCTTCCTCCCACCAGGCTCAGGCACCTCCTGCTCCACCCCTCTCCCAGCCCAGCCCCGCCGCCCCCTCTCCCCGGAGCTCATCTGCCGCCTCCATCTCCCAGCCACAAGTGCAACCCAACGCGGGATTCATTAACAAAACCACAGCAAAGGACCGACACTCCCTTGGATTTCCTGCTCTCCCTCATCTTCCCAGGTCTCGGCAGCCACAGCGTGACCCACGGCTGCCGCAGCCGCCGGCACCCGGGACCCGCGGCCCGGCACCTGCCCCGACCGAGCTCGGCTTCCCAAGGGAGCAGGCAGAGCTGGAGCAGGGCAGATCCCTGGGAAGCCCTTCCCAACCGACTGCCCCACCCCAGCCCTCACGGCAGGGGAAACCAGAGCCAGTACACGAGGTTGGAAATACCGATCCTGGGCAGGGACACCCGGGGATGCTCCCAGGGGTCGTCCCCCAGCACCAGCACGTCCGTGCCGAGCAGCCCCGGTCCCAGGACCGGAGCAGAACACTGGGATTTCTCCCAGGCGTTGACACATCACACTTTGCCAGGCTGCACCCGCCCTTCCCCAGGGGGTGATGCTCCAGGCAGGATGACCCCAGGGAGCCACCCTGACACCCCTCAGTGCCACGGGGCGCCCAGACCGAGCTCCAACCGCCCCCTCCGCCATCCCCAAACACGCCGCCTTCGGCAGAGCATCTTCCAGGGCAGCTCTGGCACTGCTGGCGCAGCTCGGAGCGGGGGGAGGAGGGAAGGAGACCACCTCCCACTCGGCAGTTGGCTCTCCGGGCTCCTGGGCAACCCCACGCACCCCCCGTGCCCGCACAGCGTGTTCCGGGCGCTCAATGCCCCGAGCCCGGCGCGGTGCCCCGGTGCCAGGTGGACAATTAGAGAAGGTGTCTGTTCGTGCCTCCCTCACACGGAGCCAAATCCCCTTCCCGAGCCGGGCGCCCGTCCCAGCGGCAGCGATGGCAGCGGCGAGCGGAGCTCCAGCCCCGGGAGGGGGAATAAAGGAGCCTTCATGGGCGCACAATGGGCGGCTCAGAGCGGGGCCGGGGCAGCTGCGGGGACACATCCAGCCTTGGCAGCCAGAGGAGAGCCCCCGGCTCAGAAGGGACTCAAAGGGGACAGAGCGGGGAGAAACCGGGCTAAAAAATGGCTAAAAAATTGTCAAAACAGCCAAAATAAGGCAAAAAATGGGGAAATTGAAAAAAAAAAAAAAGACCCAGAGGAGAGTCAATTAAAAAAAAAAAAAAAACAAACACCCAAGGCTAAAGAACAAAAAAAAAAAAAAAAGACCCAGAGGAGGGTCCAAAAAAAACCCCCAAAAAACCCCAAGGTTAAAGAACCAGCAAAACAAACAAACACACAAACAAAAAAAGGGCCCCAAAAAACGGCAAAGAAAAAGAGCCTCAAAGATGGCCAGCCCAAAAAAAAGGCCGAGAAAAAGAGGGCCACAAAAAAAAAAAAACAGAGCTTCCAAAAAAAGGGTCAAAAAAAAAAAAAGGTCAAAAAAAGGCCAAAAGAAAGGCTCTCCCAAAAAAAAACAAAAAACATTTGGGTGCAAGAAAGGAAATTGCTCTTCTCCAGGACAGGGTGGCAACAGATGCCCCCGCGGGGTCTTCCCAGGGGGGAAGGGGACCAAGAGCCTGGTGCCACCATCCCATGGACACCCGGAGGCCTCGTGCTGGAGCAGGATGGGCTGGGAAAAGGGCCTGCAAAGAAAAACACCACAAAACATTTGGGGTTTGCCTGAAATGAGAAATGGACACCGAAAGGGGCTGTGGGAGAGCTCGGGGAGCAGGTCCTGGAGCAGAGGCCAAGTGACCTCGACCTCCAGCACACAGAGGAGCACAGCACAAAAACCTGGACAGACTGGAAGCAAGGCACAAAACCACCGAGGAGCTCCTTCCCAGAGCAATCCCTGCTTCCTCCTCGGCCCAGCTCCTCCTCCTCTCCTCGGGAGGAGGCTCCAGAGGAAGCGGCGCTGGCCATAAACACGGCCTGGAACGAGCACGAGCCCCAAACCAGATGTTTGGGGGGAGAAGAGAGCACGGAGGGAGGGAATAAACCCACTCTGGAGGCAAATAATCCCACTCCATGGTACTCAAATGTCTCTGTCCCCACCTTGTGTGGCCACGGCACCCCAAAACGGGGAAGGCTGTTGTGTTTTGGCCAGTTTTGGCCTGTCTTTGGTAGAGCCTGTCCCATCAACCAGATAACAGCACATCTTCACCCCCACGTCCCTCGGTCCCTCCCTGTGGATCAAGGCTGGAGCACACCACAAGGCCATGGCCACTCTTCCCAGTTCCCCCAGTGCCAGCTCAGAACCCCGTGGCACCGTGTTGCCAGACCCCCCAAATCACCCAAGACACAAATTCAACCCCATTCAACACACACCACCAACCAGAAGCACATCACAGTCACCTCACCCTTCATTTTTCTCCCCTACATCATCCACCCTTTGTTCCTGAATTACAGAAAAAACAGGATTTGTTCCTTTTCCGTGTGCTCAGGACTCCGAATGTCCTGGAATTTCTCTGCAGCCACAGGACAGGCCCCGGGAAGGCCAAAGCCCGGAGCCCCCCAGCTCCATCCCACTCCCTCATCCCGGGGCTGGGGCTCCAGGCTGATCCTAAAGCCCCAAATCATGCAAATTTTCCGGGTCCTTTGGCTCCCAAAAGCCGACCCGGGGTAATAGAGACGTTTAAAATGCCGAACCCTCGGGTCTGAGGCACATTTTTTCCAGGGGGGAAAGGGAAAGGAAGGCTCAGCTGTTTGTTCTGCGTTTAAATACGCCATCCCAAAACAGTTCAAATGCATTTTTGCAATTCCTCCATCCGGCCCCCTCCGAACGGGAAGATTCAAACCAGATCCCTGCCCCAGCCCTTCCAGGACGGCTCCCGGCCATTCCCGCCGGGAGAAGCCGCAGGTATGTGGCCAGGCCTGGGGGAGGGGGCTGGCCAAATGCTAAGTAAATATTGACTTTAAAATACATTTATTTTTTTCCCCCCCTCTCCTTTCAAGTCAGCCCTGGCATGGGGATCACGAGGCATTCACCTTCCTTAGAAAAAGGCGATTTGGAGAAGCCAAGCCAAGCCCAGCTGTGCTCTGCCAGAGGTGCTGGAAAGGCAGCTCAGTGCCATTCCTGGGACACCCTCTGGCACTTGGAACAGCTCTGGAGTGGGTTCACCCCAATTGTCCCCGTATCTGGAGCCCCCAAGGAGACAAACTGCAACCAACAACAAATCCCACCAAAACCAAACACCAGCAGAGCCCCCACCACGGCTTCAGTCCCAGTATTCCGGCGCTTCCCTGGTTTTCCATCCCCGGTTTCTGCCCATCTCCCCCCAGCAGAGGGATGATGCTGCTGGGAAGCAGCTGGAATCTCCTGCCTGCCCCCAGCTCCATCCTGGGGCACGGCCAGGGCTGGGACCCCCCACGTCACACCCGGAGCCCGGAGGGACAGGCAGGACAGGCTCCATCTGCCGCCCCACCCCAGGCACGGGGACACCCAGGGAGGATCCCAGAACCCTCAGCTCATCCATCCCAGGCACGGGGACACCCAGCGAGGATCCCAGAACCCTCCCAGCACCCTCAGTTCATCCACCCCAGGCACAGGGATACCCAGCGAGGATCCCAGAACCCTCAGCTCATCCACCCCAGGCACAGGGACACCCAGGGAGGATCCCAGAACCCTCAGCTCATCCACCCCAGGCACAGGGACATCCAGGGAGGATCCCAGAACCCTCAGCTCATCCACCCCAGGCACGGGGACACCCAGCGAGGATCCCAGAACCCTCCCAGCACCCTCGGCTCATCCATCCCGAGGCCACCAGCACATTCCTGGCCCTTTCCCAGGCTCCACACACTCCACACACGCACCCACCACCCACCCATGGCAAGGGACCCCCATCCCTCCCCACGGGGCACAGACTGGGAGCAGCTGGGTCCTGCTCCGGGTACCCTGTGCTCCAGGGATCGGGACACAGCATCCCAATGTCCCACCCCGCTCCAGGGACAAGCCCAACTCCCGGCTGGCTCCATGGCCAGGGCAGGGAGAGGTGACACAGCCCAAAGGCCCGGGGGGTCCCCAGCAGCCCCCCCACACCCCCACACGTGCACCGGGCTGGGATTCCCATCAGCCAGGACCTGCCCCCGCCGCCTCCCAACCCAAGACAAAGGAGCAGAGCGAGGACGGGGGACGGAGAGGAGGAGGATGGATGGGCAGAGCGCATCCCCAGGGAGGCGGGAGGTGGAGGCAGGAGACGGAGGCAGGAGGTGGAGGCTGCCCACCAGCATCCATCCATCCCCGCGGGGCGGGGAGGGGGGAAGGGGAACAACATCCCACTGCGGCTCCCGGGCCGCGTCCATCCCGCAGCTCCACGTCACCTGACTTCAAACGCATCCGGGGGGAGAGACGATTTCCATGCGAACACGCATCAGGAAATCTGGGAGGAATGCGCTCCCCCCCCTCCCCGCCCAGCCCCTTCCCCTCCCGCTCCTCAGGCTCTGGCAGCTCCGCCGCCTTCAGATGAAATCCATTAAAAAAAAAAAAGGGGGGGGGGGGAAGGAAAGATTTGCATTTTAAACCAAATTCAGGAGCCGGGAGCTCCGTGCCGGAGCGATCCCCCGCGTCCCCTCCCGCCTCCAGCCCCACCGAGAGCCCGCAGCAGAACGAGCTGAAAAATGGCAGGAGATGGAACCAGATGAAATGAAGCCCCGGCACTGCCAGAACTGGGGATAATAATAATAAAAAAGGAGCTGGATCATCCAGACCGTGGTGGGGAGGGGCAGGAGGGGCAGCTCCAACCCCACAGCTGAGGGCGATTCGAGGGAGAATCCTGCTTTTTTGATTTCTTTCTCTTTTTGCAGCTTATCTGCAATTTAAATGAAAAAAAAAAAAAAAGGGGGGGGGTGGAGGAAAAAAGGGAAAGAAAAAAGCATTTTCAGCCAGGAGAAAGGGGCTTAAGTCCTCTGGGTGCAGTTGGATGGGCTGCAGCCGGCCCTGGCCCGTGGCCATCCCTGCTGTGTCCCCTTTTTCCTGCCCCAGAGGAGGGATGGGGAGGGGGCAGCGGGACTAAGGAGCCCCCCCACCTCCCCTACCTGCTCAGGCTTTATTCCCTGTATTTATCCCAGCAATAGGAGTGGGATGTTTATACCCTGGGCAGTTGGGAACCCAAACAGGACCCGGCGTTCTGCAGCGTGGTGGTTATTTATGGCCTGTGGCTGGAGCTGATAAGGCTCCCTCCAGAGCCCTGCCTGCGCCGGGAATAAAGCAATTCCACAGGATAGATTAATAGGCATTTCATCCCAGCAGCTGGGAGGGAGGGGAGGGAGGGGAGGCTGCCGGGAGCTCGGAGGGGCAGGAGGGTCTGTGCTTCCTCCCGCCGGGCCGGGCATCAGCTCGCCAAGGCTTTCAAAGGGCTGGAGCCCGGCCAGAACCATTGGCCTTAATTCATTAGTCAACTCAATTTCGCTGCCTCCGCAAATAAGGACTTTGTCTGGGATGGGGAAACGGAGCAGAGCAGCTATTGTGCCCCAGGAGCGGGCAGAAAGGGCCCTTTGAGAGGACACTCTGCCGGAATAAAAGTCACTTTTATCCCAGAATAATTAGCATGCTCTGAGTACACTAATTATTCCGGCATAAAGGGACTTTTATTCCCGAGCAGCGCGGCCGCGCGGGGAGTTGCTCTGGATTCGGCTCCACCTGCCCGTGTGAACACGGCCGGGGATGATCCAGCTGGGATTTGGGGGTCCTCGGGGTGGCCACTCGGCAGGTCCCCACCGGGGCACACACGGGGGGTCCCAGCCCAGGACGGGCAGGGAGCAGTCACCCCCCCAGAGACGACAGAGGCTCCAGGAGGCTGGAGAGCAGCAAGAGGGGGATGAGGACATGGAGACCCAACCCTGTCCCCTGCCACCAAGTCCCCTTCCGAGGTCCCCTGGGGACCTGGGTCTCCTGCTGGGTCCCGTGGGGGACCTCAGAGCATCTCCTGGCCCTGGGGAGCACAAGGTCACGGAGCCACCGTCGCACAGCACAATCTCCTGCTACTTCAAGGTCTCCCCAGGAACAACAACCCCCAGCAGCACCACGGCCCTGCCCCGCTCCTGCTGCAGCTCTTGCCTGCCACCAGCTCCCATCCTGGTCCCCAAAACCAAACCCAACCAGTCCACAGGGACACGGCCCCAGCCATCCACGTGCTGCCGGCGAGGTGGCAGCGTGGGATGGGCAAAGGTCTGGGAATTCCTCGACAGCACATCCCGGGAAGGCAGGGCCTGCTCAGCTTCCAGGTGGCAGCTGCTCCACTGGAAAAACATCCCTGGCACGGCGAAATGTCCCACCTGTCTATAACTGGCACAAATGGTGAAAAAGGAATCGAAAGACCAATCTCAGGTAATCCCTGAGCTGATGCTGAATCCCAGGTGCCGCCCGACCCCTCAGCATCTCCGTCGGATGCTCCCGGATGGTTCCTGCAGGTCAGGGAATCCTGGTTTCCCCGGTTTTAACTGCTGTAAGTTGCAGAAAAAGAAAATTTACGATTTAATGCAGCCGAAAGGGCGTGGGGCCGGGCTGGGCGGGCGACGGGGGCCGATGGCATCAGAGCCGCAGAGGAGGAGGAGGAGGAGGAGGAGGAGGAGGAGGAGGAGGAGGAGGAGGAGGAGGAGGAGGAGGAGGAGAGCATCACGCCGGTGAGTAATCGCGGTGCTGGGCTCCAAATCCGCTCTTCCCCAGGGAAAACACTCCCGGCCGGGAGAGGAGACGCTGAGAGAACCCATCTGGAAGGGCCGGGGGCTGTGCAGGAAGCGGGGCCGTGGCGCGGGCACCGACCCAGGGCACCGACCCAGGGCACCGACCCAGGGCGGCCGGGCCGGGGGCGCAGCCGGGCCCGCGCGGGGTTTGCCCCGGTGCTCCCGCGGCATCCGCCCCGCGCTGGGAAGGCGGCCGGAGCGGGAAGTATTAAACCCAAGTGCTTCCTTTTCCAAACAATAAAAAGGCACCTCGACACCCGCGGCGCCGCGCCGGGAGGAAACCCTTCGCAGCCACCCCGGCTCCCTGCGCCCGTGCCCGGAGGGACGCGGGGACGGGTCCGGCACCCGGCAGGACACGCGCCCAGAGAGGACGGGACCACCACGAGCAGCGCGGTTTGGGGTGCCCCTGCCCCCGGCCCAGAGCCCCCAAGCATCACAAATCACCTGGAGCTGCTCTCCTGCAGCGACAGAGCCAGGGACAGACGGGGGGATCGTCACTGGCAGCCGGGGACGGGCAAGAGGTGTCCCAAAGGGGCACTGCTCCGAGCAGTGGGTGGGCACGGGGAGGCGGGTGGGCACACGCTGGCAGCCCACCATCAACACGCTGGGCTGGTGCCTGCAGAGGGGCAGGGTGGGCAGGGCAGTGTCCTGCTGCTCCCCAGAGCCAAGCCTTTGTGTCCCCTCGCCATCCTCTGGGCCACGATATTGCAATTCTGAGCGGGGAAAAGCACCAGGAGCCAGCGCTGAGGGACTCTGCCCCCCGGGGGCACAGGGAAGGACGGGGAGGGGACGGTGGGAGGGTCTCGGCCCTGAAGAGCCCGATGCAGGGATGCAGGGTGTGGCCATCCCAGCGCGAGCAGTGGCCACGCTGTGGCTACCAGGAGCCCGCTGTGTGATGCAGGGCCACGAGCGCTCAGTCCCCTCACTCACAAACAAAGAGCTGGAGGTAGATGGGAGAGACTGAAGCGATTCAAAGCTCTCATCAGATTTAAATATTTATGCCATTTGCCTGACAGACCCCAGCAGACAAACCCAGCTGCCCTCAGCAAGGCCAGGGCAGGTGGGCAGCAGGGGGATGGCTCCAGAACCTTCACCCTCCTCCTCAGTTCAGTCACCAAGGGATGGATGGCAGAGCCCCAAGCCCAAGGGCAGCAATGACTCCCCTTGCCCTCCACACCCTCCAATTCACCAAGCAACCCCCATGCTCGCCCCCAGCACACGCAGGATGTGACCCCCAAAACCTGCCCATCCTCGGGACGTGACCCCCAACACCTGCCCATCCTCACTGCAGCCTCATTTGGAGAAACAGCATCTGGCAAGAGGCTAATTAGTCCACTCAATTAAAGATGCAACTTCCAACTCAATTAGACTCCCTCCCAGACATCCACAATTCCCACTGATACCCCAGTCCGCGTGTTTTGGACATCACAGACCTGCTCTCACCTTCCTGACACTCCCCAGATCCTGGGATGCTCTTCCCATCCCTCCCCTCGGTGCCACCAGGAGCACGGTCCCACCGGAGGAGCCCCGAGCTGCCAGCGAGGTCATTACCCAAGGTTTCTGCTGCCAACCCCACGAGCGGTGCTGGGACCGTCTCCGACCCTGCGAAGCCTCTGCACGGCCGCAGCTCCGCTCCGCTCCCCTCCCGGCTCAGGAAGGACACCGGGGTCTATATTTAGCTCTAGAAATGGCCAGACCGCATTGGGGAACGGTGGAATAACACCCAGAACGGCCCTCACGGCCCACCCTGTGATTTTCCTTCAGAAATGAGAGGCACGGAGCAAAGAAAACAACGAGTTTGAGCCGAGTTAGAAAACGCTGGAAATACTCGGTGTGGCCACAACCGGCAGGTCGGGCTGCCCGGGAACGGTGCGGGGAAGGGACTGGAAACTTAAGTCAACAGCAAAACCCGGGCTGTAAATAGCTCGAGTCGGCCTTGGATTGCAAAATCCCAAGGAGAGGGAAAAGCATCCCCTGGAAATTAAGCCACAGCAGGGACGGAGACAACGCTCCGTGTGGGGGAGCCTGGGGATGACAGCGCTGGATGCAGGACGTCCCCAGGCACTCAGCGAGGCCTTGGCACCACTGGCCACCAACTGTCCCACAGGAGAGGGATGTCCCAGCCAGAGGTGATGGAGACATTCATGCCAAGCACAAGGAGAGTCCTGTCTGCCTGGCAGAGCCGGGACTGAGGGAAGGAAGGGGGTGGATGCATCCATCGCTCACCAGTCAACCAGCCACAGCAGCCAGGGGTCAGCACCAACTCCAAGGAGCCCATTCCCAACTCTGGGACTGCCAGATTCATCCCAGGCACTTCGGCCGAGCCCCGTGGCTTGTTGGGATGAGCTGGAGCAGGACTCTGAGCTCAGCAGGCGGCTCTCGGAGGGATGCACCCCCCTGGCAGGGCCGGGGGCCGGACAGGGAGTCTGGGGGGCACAGAGCAAGGATTTATCCACAAGGCTGGCACAAGGAAAGTGCTTGGAGCGGATCTGGGAACCGAAATCATCTCCACGCTTGGAAGAGGAACCTCCTGCCCCATGACAAAGCCGCGGGCTCGCCCGCTGGTTATCGTGGTGCTGACTCAGCAGGATCAGCACATCCTGTGTGTCCCCCCCTCCCCGGGCACTCAACGGCTCCCGAGGGCCCAGCCCCGGCTGCGGTTTTGGGAAGCACCCCCCGTGCACCCACTACACAGGCAAAGGGCACCTGCAGAGGCACGTGCTCCCTGTGCTGCTTTGGAGAGGCTCCTGGGGGCCCCTAACCTTCCAAAGGACTCTTTACAGGGTGCACGGGCCTGGGAAGGCTTCCCAAAGGCACAGCCACACCCCCGGAGCACCACGGGGGTCACAGACACAGGTTCAGCTCCTCCTGCCTCCCGGGACAGCCAAACCCTCCCTCGTGGGCACCATCCCCAGAGTGCTCCCTGTTTCTGCCCAAAGGGCTCCTGGCCCTCACCCTGCCTGTCCTCCATCCCCTTCCCCAACCTCAGTAAGCACCAGGAGGTGACCCGGATGCTGTCACAGCTCGGGGGTCCCCACACACCCTCCCAGAGGGGGCAGGAGCAGGGCTGAGCTCAGCCTGTCCTTCCC